ACATATCGTGTAAGAACACCTTTAGCGATCAGTTTAATTTTAGTATCAGCGCTATAGATTCTTGGGAAATAAATAATGATGAATATTTTCGGGCTTGGGCTCAAATTCGATCTTTAATAATGATATGCATTAAATGGGATTTAAATGGTGTATACTCCGATGTGAAATACGTAAAAACCGACTTATTGTTTATTAGCTACCATAACCCCAATAGATATGTAGCCATTCATGTTTGCCTTATATCTTTTCTTGAATACTCAATCTCCTCGCGTTTCATCCACATATGACTCTTAATTGTTTAATGATATTCTAAACACTTAAACTAATTACTCACTGTGTGGTGGCGTGAGCGCCAACGCAGATGACATACCCGGAAATTGCAGCGGTGAAGGGGGATGTGGTGGCCCATCAGGTGGATTGAAATGCGATGGCAGGCTCATAGGCGAGCTAGGCCCGAATTCCTTGCTCAATCGATTCATGCTCTCTTCGAGGCGTTCATGAGGTGCTGGTCCCACAGGCCCACCTGGCGGCCCGAACGGTGACATACCGGGCATACCCATTTGCCCCAGTATGCTATTTGCATAGGCGTTGTGGTGTTCTTGGAACTCACGTTGTTCACGTTGCATTGCCTGATCACGTTCACGTGACTGTTGATGCGAAACAGCGGCTGCTGCTGCGGCCGCCGCTAAAGACAGATCCATCTGATGTTCCATGTGTTGGAATGGATTCTCGCCACTGGCTGCTGCCGCCGCTGCTGCTGCTGCAGCCGCGTGCATCTGCGCCTCTAGTGCATCCATTTTGCATTGATTCTCGGCTGCTGCGCTGACGGCGCGATCTAGCCGCAGATCTCGGAGGCTGGCCGTCGCAAAAGGGTGCATGTTATTCGATGAGTTGGGGGTGGAGGAAGAAGATGGTTTATTTAATTGGCGTATGTCCTTTAGCGACAATACAATGCGATTGTTGTTGTTTAATTTATTATTGTTATTGTTATTGTTCGCAGGAATCGCGTCAACTTCATTAGCCGAGTGACTGCCATTCATATCGTTTTTATCCTTCTTCGTTGTGCAGAGATCCTCTGGGCCATCCGAGAGATTCGACATCGATTTGCGACGCAATTCATTGGTGGCGTTGATAAGTTCCTCGATATCTTCCGCATCTGGTATTTGCTCATCATCGTTTTCTTGCTCAATATCATTGTCATTGTCATTATCATTTTCATCTTCCTGTTCCTGTTCCTCATTTTCAATGTCCATCGAACTATGCGCATTCAGTGGCTCTGGTGAAAGTGCCACATCCGTGCGTGGATTATTATGCTGGGGTTCTTCACTTGATTGAAACGTGCTTGCGGGCTTATCTTGGGTTTCATTGTTATCTTGGTGACTGTCATTGCCGTTTCCGCTATCATCACGACGAGCACCCTCGTCTTCGTCCATTGGCTCGGTCAGCTCAGTTTTAATCACAGTCTTTAAAGCTTCTAAGCGCTCCGCATGCGCCTTCTCCAATTGCTCATCCAGCGACAGGGGCAGGGATTCAGCTTGCGGTGGTTCCTCCACGGGTGCAGGCGTAGCTGGTTTGCTTGGCATTTCGAGTGGTAGATCACCAGAGCGTCGACGCGGACGCGCTTGCTTACGTCTTGGCATGGGAGAAGTACAAATGTCTGAGTTGATGCTCGTATCTAACGGCAGGTCTTGGTCACTTTCTATTTCTCTTTCTAGCTCACGCTCGAGTGCACGTTCCCGCTTGCGTTCACGCTCGCGCTCCCGCCGTGCTGTTGAACCGAATAGTCTCGATGGCAATATCACCTTAGAGCCGGCCGTAACCATCGATGGTGACTCATCATCAAAGCTTGAACAACGCTCAAGCTCAGGCGACATCAGCGACGTATCGATCATACCGAAGCCATCCGGGGATGCGGCTGGTGTCGGTGTATGCTCTGGCACTGAACTCTCGACCAAACCGCGCACCTGCAGAGATTCACCCGCCTGAATGAGGGTCTGAAGACGCTCCTGCGGTACGCTGATCTCACCACGATACATGAAATCTACGATGGCTTGCACCACCCAACCCTGAAAGTCCTTGAGCACAATAACCGGATGCTTGCACGGCGTCTCGGCGAACACGCGCTGAAAGAAGGGCGAACACGCTGAGAGCACCATTTTGTGCGCGTGTATGCTTGTCTCGGCGCACACCAGCGTCACATCTACCAGAGTTTTGGTCTGTAGGAGTGCGTCAAAAGCGCGCAATATATGATTTTGATGATTATTCCAACGCAGGCTGTAGTGATCTTGTACGGCGCTACTGGTGACGCCGTTGGCGGGTGTTGCGGAGTTGGTACTGGCGGCTGCAACAGCAGCCACTGCAGCAGCAACGGCTGCGGCAGCTGTAGCGCTATTCGATGAGGGTGTGTGCTGGCTGCCGGTGCTCAACAGTGAGCTAGCCATTGTAGTGGTCGCGAGCGTGGGCGCTGAACTGGCGGCCACCAGTGTACAAGTTGTGTTGCCCGTACCGCAGACATTATTACTGCTACTGCTGTTGTTGCTGCTGCCGGTGTTGCTTATATTTTGATGACTACGTGCTGTGGTCATTATCATGTTGAGCGGTGGTGTAGGCGGTGTATTTGGCGGCGTCGTGGTGGCAATCGATGTGCTGTCCATAGACGCTGTCGTGGCTGTCGACGCAATGCTGTGCGTCTGCGACAACGACAATTTGCGTCTTTTAACAACGTCTACCGGTTCCTTTAACATTCAGCCGGGTAAATCTATGCTTTCTGACACGTGAAATACTCGAATGCTGTGACGAATGTCTCGAAAGCGGTGGTGCAGGAGTGGTAGCAGCGTCACGTGGTACACCTACACGTAACTGCCGAACGATGCGAAAAATTTAAGGAGCCTCTTTTGAGCTGTGATTGTTGTTGCCGGTTGTAGTGATTTGTATTTTTTGTTTGCGTTGTCGCTGTTTACTCTACAGCTGACTTGCTATTTCCATTTTCGCTGGCGCAGGTCTGCTGAGCGGCTCGTCGACTGAGTTTGAATTTGAAGCAGTCGTTGTGTCTGCAACGAGATAGAGACAAAAGATAAACAAGAGTTTGAGTTGCTGTTGGTTTTTTTAAATAAAGCGCGGAAAATATAGTGTGCAGGTAGCTTATCTTGCTGGTTTCTTTACGATTTTTTAGGAACTCCTTCCCATGCCCCAAACAAAAAGCTACAAGACAATGGCACAGCTGCCTAAGGATACGATTGTACAATGATGTGCGTATGTATATGTATATATGTATATATGCATGCATGCTTTCCACACGTCTTAAGATATTCATGACATATGCTATGTGTGATAATATGTTAATGAGTTTCAGCATATATCATTTTAATGTCTTCATTTGGCTGTCACAGCCGAAATTTTGCAGCACTCGGCATTTGCATACATAGAAAGTATACTAGAATGGAGAAAATAGGCAGGTGAAATAATTTGGTTAGATAAAGTCGACTACGAAATACACCTACGATAGTAAAAATCGGCTTATGCCATGTTTCTGCCACACTTTTTTACATATACAATGATTTGGGGGTTGCTAGATATCCCGAAATGCTTTCTAAATCCACACCGAATTATTGAACTCTTCCAAAAGCATTACTTGCTTTTTTTCCAAACAAGGATTGTCTCCTAAAACGCATTATCCCCAACAATACCTCATTTTCTTAAAAACTTAGAGAGATCAGAATCAATATGATTTTGCTTGAATCGAAATGTTTTTCCCGGTTGCTCGGCAGATCTTTCCCTTAAAGAATAAAGAGTTTATGTCGACAATGTCTTTGAATAATTTCCGTCCCGCCTTTAAGTAATTTCTTTGTAAAGGTTATTCACTTTTCATGTTTTAGGTTTATTAAAGCGGACTCAACAGACCATAGACTACTAAAGGTCTCAGAACTTGTTTTTGCTTTGACGGGTGCGGGTGGCCTATCTAGATTTACTTTCCGCCTATCACTTTAGCGGAAAGAAATAATTAAAAAGTAGTCAGTAAACGGATGAAACATAAGAACTTTTTAAGTAATTCTGCCCATTTTTATGGACATGTTTTAGGGCTGTGCGATTATTCGATTACTCGAGCAAGTTGGTTAATCAATTATTCGGTTAATCAATTACTCGAGTAATCAAGATTTTGATTACTCAAAACGATGATTAATCGAGTTACTTGAAATATGATTACTCAAAAAAAATAATTTTGCTCGTTAAAAGAGTTTGCTTTGGAAAATGCTTATGTTCTTTTTTACATTCTGTATATGAAAAAAATTGTTTGCTTTAATTTTTGAAAACAGAAACGTTGTTTTCAAAGTATCAAGGAACTTTAACTACTTTATACATATGTAAAGAGTTGAAATGTTGATTACTCATTTTACTCGAAATGTTGATTAATCATAAAGCAAATTACTCAAATATTTTTGTTTTTGGTTAATCAAAAATCTTGATTACTCGAGTAACTGAACTTTTGAGTAATCATAATTTCCAACTAATCGAATAATTGAGTTATCTACTTTATGATTAATTAAAATTTTGAGTAATCAATTAATCGCACAGCCCTAACATGTTTACAAAAATAGTTTTATTGAAGACATGACAATAGTTTTATTGAAGACACGACTATCGCCTAAAAAGAATAATCTTCAAAGTAACAGCTTTATACAATACTAGCAAATGCCCCGGGTGCTTCACTGCGCCTTATAAATTTTTGCATTGTTTAATACCCGAATTTATTTAAAAAAGTATTTATTTCTTTTATTTTAACGATTTAATTGAATAACATTTTTCAAACTTTGCTAAACCTCATCTGTTTGATACCCATATTGCTAATTTTCAATTTATCTTATCAAATGAATTAAATTGAAAATTTCAAATACATGGCAACCTTCCACAAAAATATTTTCGTCTGTAAGCCTTCTTAAACCTCTTTCTTTGGACAGCCGTATTAGAACATTTACCTTATCCTATCAATTTACTTACACTGCAATTTTCAAACAGGTAGCAACATTCAAATTTTTTTGCTTTCTATGTTTTAAGTTTGACCACTAGCAATACACCGGTGAAAACTACATTCAATTCCATACATTAGTTTTCGAGGGATGCGCGTACAAACATACGACAGCCAAAAAAGAGGGATCTACAGTTTTACGCCGACTGCGAACGGCGATTATATTTTAATCAGAAGCTGTTTTTCATGCTGAGCGGCGACCGCTGTTAAGAAAAAACTTTTGGGCTTGAACCCAGACCCTGCGGAGTGGAAACGCGATTAAAGCTTTCTGAAAGGATAAACGAGATTGGCCTGATCCTAAATAGAAAGCTGTCGTGAAAACCTAACATTGGAAAAAGAGTGTTTTATGGAGTTATTTCCTAGATGAATTCGCAGCAGAAAGCTTCACTAATTAGGAAGTTAAAGTGCGTACAACTGGTTGATCTCAATGGTATTAGTAATGTATTTTAGATTACTCCCACTCTGGCGCATAACGTCTTTATGAACGTACTGAAATTGTAGCTAAAACTCCCGCTGCAAAGGCTGAAATCAGGCTTAGAGGACGCCTGATGGGGGGTGGGCAGTGAAGTTTTTCACTGATGACTCGAAGGTTGCTGGATGAGTTAATAGTGGGGTCTTGTGCCGTGAGCTCTCCATCAACATCAAGTTTAGGCTTAGTGACGCTGTGGTGTTTTTTAGGCAGAAATTTCTGCTGGTGCGAGGCAGGAGATATACTGTTCAAGAGTGTGACGTTAATGTGAGACGCAGGCATACATATATTCTGATAGCCAAGCGGCAAGTGAGAGCGCCACTGATCATTTGTGGTTTACTCTTAACAGACGGGCACGTGACAGCCCCCGAAGGTCGGCGGAAAACCAAGCCATGTGTAATTGCAAGGTCCTTTTGGCTTTGGATCTGGATTATAGACCGGGGAGGATGAAAGGTACTGCTTATGCTAGAAAACACACTCTCGCTCTCAGTTCTAGTGGAGATTCTGATAGATCACTGCCTGATCCTTACTACCGCAGTTACCTGGAGGATCATGAGTTGGAATCACTTCAACACTCAGAGGAGGATCATCGCAACCTAACCTAACCTTGCGAGCTAATTATGCTTATGTACTATCTATAAAACTTCAGTCATATTTTTAAACTAACTTTCACATAACAGCCTGCTGCTTCCAGTTGTAGCGCTCCAAGAAAAATAAGAAAAACATACGTATGTATATTCGAAAGTTGCAATCTCAGATACGTGCCGCTGTGCATATCCTTCAGGATATGGTTAAGCACACTGTGTCTTTACGGAGTAACGTTTTTTGTTTTCAAATGAGTGGATTTACATACATACATATGTAGGAAAAAATCACATCCACTGTCATCTATAGACATACATATCTAAATACGGGTATGCATGTATGTATAAAAGAAAAAGAATAAACACGCATGCACACACATTTAATGTGTGATAATAGCTGATGTATGCGTTTTATTTGTCTTTCTTGACTTTTTCGGTACACAGAACAGAACTCAACTAATGCGGCATTTTTCTTTAGATTTCAGATTTTTTATGCAAACATGCCAGTACGCTCGTTAAGGTAGACCAAAACTCAGAAGTTTAGAGGGCGCTATATCTTGTTTTTTTTTTTTTTTGTAAATTGGTAGACACATGCTGATATACATACATATATAGCTGGAGCTGCCTGCGGAGCAGAGAGTATGTAGGTGTTTGTTTTTTATCTTACTACTTCGTATGTATGAATTAATTAGAAACAACGTGTCTATGCATGCGTGTATGACTTATTTCAAGCCAATATTACGTGAGCACCGTCTACAAGGAGGACTCTATACATATGTGTGTACATATATGTAAGTAAGTAAATATGTTCACACTCACAAAGCAGCAGGATATGCGAGGATATGATTGAAATTAAAAAACTTCCACGCAGTTGATGAGTAAACTGCTGAATGTTGCTTTAAATACAAATTCTCATTTACACATATCTGCTGAAGCAAAGAAGGGCTGTGGGTAGAGAATAAAAACGCAAAAAAAAAGGTTTAAGAAACTGCAGAATAAAACGTAAAAAGTGCTTCTTCACTTTGGCTAAAGTAATGTTATTGCCAAGTCGCGGTAAACATTTTTATTTGCCCACTTCGCAAACGCTGCAGAGTAAAAAACTTGAAAAAAAATAAATAAACTGCGTGTAAAATTGTTTTACCTGCCTGTCTATATATGCGCTTCGCTCCTAGCGGGAGTGAGTATATCAAGCCGCAGCCACAAACCGACTCAAATGAAGACAGTGTAAAAAACTAGTTGAAAGAAGTAAATTGGTAGTCAAAACAAACACACAAATGAAAGATAGTATGCATGCGTATGTGGGTAAATAAATAAGTAGTAGCAGTATTTAAAAAAAAAGAAAACTATAGCAAAGAAGGCGTTTTAAGTAGCGCAGTTACTGCACCTTTGAGATCCTAATGCGACGCCTATGTGACGTTGCGTGTGCGTAACGCCATTAATTTTTATGTTTTTTTTTTTCTTTTTTTGCGAAAAACCGCACTGAAGTAGTATTACCGCATCCTTGCGCTTGGCTGCAACAATGTGCAATTAGTTGGTGTTTTAAGTTAAATGCATGCAAATGTGTTCTGCTCTCATGATTTACTTTGGGTTAAAACTTTGTTTGCATATTTCTTGTGCACCTGTCTGTGCTTTCAAATTTACGGTTGAAAATGTGTTCAGAAGTGAAAG